TACTACATTCGTTTAACAAACAATACATATCCTACAATAAAACTGTAAGTATCCTATATTAAATAACACATAACCTCTATCAAATAATACATATCCTGATCAAATACTGCATATCATATATACTTGACGCACGAATTTTTTGGTGTAACTTGCCGCACCCAATACCTTCTCATGCCAAATATTATCACGTGTTATTGACACAAATCAATAAAATTCTATAAAAGGCACATGTAGCATACCCTTGATTTATGTAACAACAATATATGTTATTGAACTATACTTTATATAAGATAAAAACACGGTGTAATTTTTATAATTTCATCAGTAAGATATATCTATGTTATTTCAGTTTGATAAACATGAATTAATGATCACTCAATAATTATATTAACTTTGATACTCATGAATTAATGATCACTCAAAAATTGTATTTGTAAAAAGTATTGTCGCTCCTAAAAGTTGTTATTAGTTTTGGGATATTACAAATTACGATGTACAATATAATAATCATATTAGAATGTGAATTTTTTTTATATTAATCGATTAAAATATATCTTGTTTTGGATTACTTTTTAAAACAAATTGATGATGTAAAATAATGCTTTGTAAAATACTGAGTTTTGTGTGCGGCTAGCCACAGCATGTATCTGCATGTAAATAAAAAAAATAACCCCTATAATTCTGACCAAATAACGCCTGTAACACTGACCATATAACCCTTGTAACACTGACCGAGTAACTCCCATAATGGCTAGCCACGCAGTGTGGCCAATCACATATAAAAGTTGGAAGATGTTCATTAAAATTATTTTTTATTACTGGTATAATTTATTTTATACATATGAAATGTCGGAATTTTATTTAAAATAAAACTATAAAATAATTTTTTCTTTCCTAAAAAATCTATTTATATTTTGCTTACATGACACCATACACGTCATACTACTGCATAATTATCAAAGGTATTAGTAAGAGGGTATTTATATTTTTTTTCAAAATACTACGCATGAATTAATGATCCTCACTTAATAATAATATTTGTACCATAAAAATATATATAACCATTCAATTGTGAGGTTTTCATTTTTAGTTGATTTAAATAATATCATAAAATTATCTTTTTTTGATGTCTCGTTTTATTTGATTTAAATATATCATAAATAAATCTTGTTTTATACAACATTTTAATACAAATTTTATGATATAAAAATAACATATTTATGAGATAATTTTTGAAAGTTACAATATATTTTATTCATTTGGAAAATTAGAAGTCCTATAAGAAAAAAAAACTCTAAATAACTTTCTTATCCTAAAAACTCTAAATTCTACTAAATATCTTATATGTTGTCTACGTGGCATGACACTTGGCGAATAGTTGAAACGCCAAGTGTTGTCTCGTTGTCTGACTAAAAGTTTAGCTTTATATATTAGGTATATGATGTGGTGACAATCACATGGATGATCCGATCCGCAAGGTTCCAATAACTACATATCCGATTTGACCTATGGACGAATATGCAAGCATAGGCCAATTCAGCCGCCTTTTGTTCCATTTCTCGTGGAGTCATATTCTCATCGGTACGAGTTAAAGGAATGGCTGAGTGCCACATAGAAAAATAGTAGATTTTAGCCAATGAAAAAACAGATTTGCAATTTTTTTTAAAATAGAAAATTCAACTGCAACATTAGCAAAAATAAGGAATTAAATTAAGTGTCATTTAAATATAAAAAAACTATAAAAGATAATTTGAGGGGATTAAATTAAATAAATAGAAAATTATGCGTGATTTTAAAGATTTTATCTACTTAAATACTTAGGAATGAAATCCACAAACTTTCATATGTGGTCGGCCATACGGTGTGGCCAACCATCGTAAGTGTTACTTCGCTAGTGTTATAAGGGTTACTCATTCAGTGTTACAATGGTTACTTCATCTATGTTATATGGGTTACTCCTTGGTATTATAACGGTTACTTAGTTAATATTATAGGAGTTACTCGGTCAACGTTAGGAATTACTTTGGTTTTCTTCTACAAGCAGCCACATTGTGTGGCCAGCCGCACACATAACTCAAATGAAAATCACTGTAAAATATCATCGTAATTTATTTAAAAACATTGAATTTTGTCTTTTTTGAAATACTTACAAAATAAAAATACTTAATTTCACAAGAATAGACAACATATTTTTATGTGTATAAAAAAAAGACAAAATACTTTTATAAATTTTTAAATAACTTACAAAAAAAAAAATAATGTTCAATAGAGATTTTATTAATAACTTTATGTTTGCAAAAATCATATGGAATTAAGAGATTAAAAAAACTATACATATTATATAAAAAATTGTGCATCACACGAGTTTCATCTAAATTATTATAATTACAAGCATGCATGACGTTTGGCACCTCGATGTCGGCTCTTCACCACCTACGGCTGCAAATATAAAAGGATGGACTAAAAATAAAATTGGTGCAAAAAAAAAAAAAAAATAAAAGTGGACAAAGGGAGTATAACAACACTACATTAGCTGTTGAACGGACAATAAGTACTATCACCAGTTTGATCTGCTTTGCTAACTTTCAATAATGGTAAAATAGGGTTGCTTGTTGTGAAAGATACACAAAACAACTGATGTTTGTGTACTTTGTATTTTTTTTAATAGGCAAAATTTGTTAGAAACCATATTCCATCTGTCCCATAATAACTTACACGGAGGGAGTAACAATGAGGTCTCAATCGTCTCATAACCACTTTTTGAGTTGTGGTTCGAAGGGCCAACGGGCCCTGGTTTGAGGTTTGGGGTTGGGGCCTAACTTTAAAATAAATTCACCACCTTTTTTCTTTTTTTTTATACGAAAAAATTTATCATTAGTAAATAGCCATACAATATCTATAATAATAATAAAGTTTTGTAAGCCACAGATTTAAAGAAAATAACATAACTTTTACCATCAAAATTATAACTATTTTGCGTATTTGGCATTGCTTACACTCTATCGCCTAAAGTTTGACGCGAGCAGTGATTTTCAATGTTTTCGCATCTTTCCAATTAGAGACTTTTGCAATGTGCACTGATGTTTTGATCGTATAGTTGATGACAAACCTTGAACCCATATGAATCAAAATCACCTATTCAATTATTATTAGAACCCTAACAATAAATTCTCATCCATAGATGATAATCAAAATCCCAAAAGAATGGGAAAAATTGAAAAAAAACAATAGGATAGACTATCACAAATGAAGAGAACAAAGCAAAACAAAAATATTAATAGCAAAAAACTAAATTAAATTAAAGAAAAACGGTTGGAAATAATCTAATTTTCGAAGAAATTAGTTTATTTTCAACCTAAATGAGTAAGAAAATTAAACCCTAATAGAGACAGGAGGGAGAAGAGAGAAGAGAGAAAAGAGAGAAGTGGGGTCATTAGGTATCACCTCCTCTCCTTATTATTACGTACTTCTCCCTTTTTTAATTAAATATTATACTTTTCTTTTGAAACTGTTTGTACTGTTTAATTTTAATTATATCGAATACTTTCTTTTTTGACAACTTAGTCCATTTAAATATCAATTTACTCGCCACTCAAAGTCCCACTCAAACATACTCCTTCTGTATTTTATTATTGCATCATTTGTAATTTTTTGCATTATTTATTTGATCACTTTGACTAATGTTTGTGATTCATACGTAATACATAAGAAAAAATATTGTGATCTTGTGAGTACATGGTGGAATCGTATCAGTGAATAGCTTATTAGTTTTCAATCGTATACTTTCTACTCGTTGATAATAAAGATATTACTGATCATAAATTTGCATCGGCATACGTACGCATGACAAATGGAGCAAATAATAAAATACAAAGAAAGTACTACTTTTTTTTACAAAAATATTATTTCCCTCTCACATCAGTCACTTCTCGATAAAATATTAACGTACTCGCTATATTTTCTTATAATATTTTTAAACCCCAACGACCTTCTTACATTTTTCTTATCATCAAGTCGATTATTTAATTTTTCCATGACTTATGTACCAGTTAAAGTACAATACTTTTAAAAATAAATTGGAGGGCCGGGAGTAGTAGGTATTGCAATTGTCCATTAGTTAGTGCTCCTTGAAACTGCCTATAAATAGAAGCTCGTCATTAGCACAACCAAAAACCACCGAAAAAACAAACTTTAATTGTTTGTACTTAAACAATGGCCTCTTTAAAGGTATTTGTTCTTAGCATCATTTTTGCTGTTCTTATTCTTATATCCTGCAATGTCTCAGCTCGTCACCTTGGTGAGACAATTTCTACTCAACTGAAGCGTAAGTTTTTCATCCTTCATAATCATGCTTTAATTTTTGAATTGACTCTAAATTAGCTTACATAAACAAACTTAAGGTCCAGTATAAGCTCAATCAGCGTGACACGTTAAAAAGTATATAAAATTGAGACACCTAACCTAATGCGGACACCAGCCAGCCTTTGTACAGCAACATCGCATTGCACCATTGGCCAATCAACGTAGGATGCTGGTTGCTGGTGTGAATGTGTGATACACTAGTCTAACTTAATGATGCAACCTATTTTTCGTTTTTTTCACATATAAATTGGACATGTTTTCCCTCTATTTCAAGACACTGAAAAGATAAACCCAAAATCGTTTACACCGGTAATGTTTCGGGGTTTTTTGATATTCTTTGGGAGAGTTACAATTCCAAGACTGACCTTTGGACGCCTGTACCTGCAAAACAACAGAGACTCTGGTGGGTGGGAGCTCTGCCTCCGACGATCAAGTTAAAACATGTATGGGGAGTAAAGTGCGAAAAGTAAAAGGTCTCTCTTGGAAATCAAGGGAGTATCTGCAATGTGAAATTGCTCAGTTCGAGGTGTCAGGTGTCTGACTTTCTCTAATTGTGAGTTGATGTGAATTAACTATTTCTGAATAGATGTTCCTAAGAGGGAAACATCTCCCTTTTATAGTGTGTTGAAAAACGTGCCCAGTACTAGGTTTTAGTAAACCTAGGCCTGACTAGGCTTTGCCTAGGAATTTGGGCCGTAGAAGGCCATTTTTCTGATGGGCTATCTGTCTGCCACGTGTCGTGGCCTGATTGGTCCACCTTGGACCTTTCACAAGGTGACACGTGGCGGACTCTGGTTGGTCCACTTGGATAACATGTGGAAGGATGTGAGTAGTCCACGTTGCGGGGAAAAATCCCCTAATCATTTTCCCCTCACAGGGATGACATGGCATTTCACGTGGCGTCTGTGACAGATGTCACACCATGATTGGCTAACTGTTATCACCGTTTTTTTGTTTTTTTTTTTACTGTCTCTTGGAATTCACCACCTATAAATAAGGGGTGTCCAAATCATTTGGACATTCTAGAAACTTTTCAGACAGAACTTTGGACGCTTGCTCTAACACTTTAGACGGCTGCCGCTTGTATACAGACCGCCTGTTCTTAGACCGCCTGCTTCCTCAGCCGCCAAGTTTTTCAAAAGTTTAGACTTCTTCTCAAAGGTAAACGCTTATTCTCTTGTACTTTTCTCTTTGCCTTTTTTTTTTTCCAAAAATGGTAGCCCAAAAGCACGCGGCACGACGTAGGTTAGTGATCAGCCGGTCACCGGGGATGGCTGAATCTAGAACTAGGAGTGCCGGCTGCCCCTTGCTGGACCACCCTTTGCGAACTGCCCAGAGTCCGACTGTCTATGTGTCTGTGCAGGACACCATGGCAGAACAAAAAGATCTACAAGAGTGATAAACTCAGACGACTCCTCACTTTATGTGCCCATTAGCGAGATCTCGGACGTGCCACCAGGCGTCCCTAGCACCCCAAGTGATTCTATTTAGCAAAATCAGAGGAGGTACAGAATGACCCTCCTATAATTGATCTATCTGGGCAGGCGGCTGCTTTGCCCGAGAGCTCAAGCGATGACTCTGAGCCTAGCACCTCGAGTCGGCATTCTGGCGACTTAGAGGAGAGGCACTCTCAGCTACATATTGCGAAAGAAAGCCATGAGGTGGAGAAAGGAGAGAAATGGGCATAGTCAGCTGCTACCCATAGAGAAATGTATACCCCCTAATTTTTCCATGTTCCTTAAGGCAAGCGCAAGGCCATGTCTGAAAAGATTGGGAGTTTTAGGGCTGACCATGTGATGGGTCATGGTTACATTCTTACGGTGTCGGATGCCGAGGATACGGTAGTCTGGCCAGAGAAGTCCAGCTACGGGGACGAGTGTTTTGGCTGCTAAGAGGCGGCTATTAAAGCTGGTTTAAGGTTTCCTCTACATCCAGCTGTTAAGAGGATTTTGGATGGGTACCAGTTGGGTATCTGGAAACTGGCCCCAAACTCATGGTTCAACATCTTAGGCTATGTTACCGACTGTGAGATGTATGAGGTGGATCCAAGCTTCAAAGCATTTGCTCATATGAACTATCTCAGCCGAACCCCAAAAACAAGCGGGACCGGCTGGTACAGTTTGTCTAGCCACAAGGGCTACATGATGACCATGAGGAAGGAGAACAAATGGAAGGATTGGAGGAACAACTTCTACATAGTCTCCTGCCCTGATAAGGTCAAGAACAGAAAGTACAACAGGTGGAATAGGGATCCACCGTACTTGACTGGCAGCTCTGACCTGCAGCCTGGTTCCTCGAAGAGCCAAGGAAGAGATCCTAGACCGAGGGCTCTTCAAAGTAATTATACAAGCGAACCCCGAGACTAGGGTGAGGGAGTTCATCCCTCAAAATTACATTCCAAAGTATAACTGGTTATACGATGGGACATATCTGGCCGCCTACGGCCTTAGCGAGGAGATGTCGAGAGGTAGTAGACCGCCTGTTTAGAGTGTCTTGTTAGACTTGGCTGATTTTGTGTAACCATTTGATTCATCTTTTGCAGATAAAGCTATGGACAAGATCTCGGCCTCCAAGAAAGTAGCCGCCCAAATCCGCGCGGCCATTCTATGCAAGCGTTCATTGAGGAGTCGCTTGCCAAACAGGTGCCTAGGGTGAGTTTCTCTTCATTTAACACAACCTCTTTATGTCTGTCGCCTCTTCGTGGCTAAATGACTTGTGTTGCAGGGTAACGTGGTCAGACCTTTCTCCTCATCCCAGCCGGACCCCAAGGTCAGGAAGCAGACGGCCGGGGATGTGCCGACTCCTGGAAAAGCTAGGAGACAGGCGGCTGAATGGTCAGGAAGGACTCCCCAAAGCGGGGCAAGGACTCCGGCTACCCCTGGGATCAGCCGACCCCCTAGAGAAAAGGAGGTGGCGAGAGGTATAACTCTTCAAATTTTCCAACTTTCATCAAGCAACCACCTCCTCTGAAATCAGGCGGCTTGTTTTCTATTTTTATGCCGCGTATTAATCAAGGTCTACTTGCAGATGCCCTTGAAGAGCCGGACCTGGTTCAGATGGCCAAGTCCATGTTGAAGGTCATCCCTGTTGAGGACAGGAAGTCTGTTAAGGGAGTCGGCACCCTAAACCTTGAAGCCATCCTGGCTCTCCTTGCCGAGTTATACTTAGTAAAAAGTTCTCTTTTTTATTTAAGCATTTGCTTGGTCGCCTGTGACTGACGACTGCTTTTTCCCGACTACAGTCTATGCTGCGAGTGTATGGTCTCCGCAAACCTATCTCCTACAACAAAGAGGTAAAAGCTGCGAAGGCCATGGCCGCCTCTGATTCTGATAAAGTTATGTTCCAGATAGCTCGAAACGAGATTCTGACCACTGACATATTGTATTACTAGGCGTCAGCCACTTTGCAGGTCAAAAAGGACTTAGAGGCGGCCAGGAAGAAGATCTTGGAGCTGGAGTAGTCTATTAAGGACCTCAAAGCTAAGATGGAGCCTCTAAAGGAGGCGGACAAGGAAGCCGAGGGACTCCGCAAGCAGGTAAATAAAGGCCGCCTACAGAGTCAAGAGGCTGACCTCACCCAAAAGCTTACGAGCAAGCTAGCGAAGAGAAGATGGCCCTTGTTCAGGACATGATGGACGACTGCAACGCTATTATGAAGATGACCTGGGCGGCCCTCTTCCCTGAATCCGGCTATGAAAAATGGGAGAGCCAATGCGCCGTCTGTTCTAATCAATACAACAAGAAGATCATGGAGCAGGCAGACGGCGACGAGGATGCGGAGGATGAGGCGTCCGACTCCACCTCCGAGGAGTCGAACCAAGAAGAGAATGACAAGGAGGAGGAGGAGCCGGCGCAGGAGGAGGCGGATGGTGAAAAAGAACAGGCGCCGATTGAGGAACCAAACCAGGCGGCTGTCGATACTGAACGCCCTCCAACTGCTTGAACTCTCATCTTTTTATGTCAACTTTCCTTGGCCTGTGTGCCGCTTGTTTTGTATCATTACCCGACCAAGGGGTCGGGGTTTATTGATAATTTTTAATTTTCAACATTTATGTCGGTCAACTGGCCGACTGTTAATTTTTAAACATCCGGCTGTTTTTGCCGGTTTTTCCATGTTTTGAAGCGTTTGAAATTTTTTGCTTCTCATGAATTTTGCTATGTGTATGTAGCTTCTTGTTTTCATGAATGCTTTATATACCGACTGATCTTGCCCCTGGGCAACTGGCGCCTGGTTTTCAAAGGTGAATTGATTGACATGGAATTTTTGATACTTTAAAGAGTATTATTAATTCTAGGTCAATCAATCACTATGGTGATTGCCCCAAACCAGGCGGTTAGTCGGCCATTGTACAGGTGAACACCTATCGTAACTTGGCTCTCGGCCTTATAGTAAACAGCATTATACTAAGTTTGTACTTAGTTTATTTTATTGGTCATCAATGGTCCGTCTGCTTGGTGCAAAATAGGCGCCAATCTGGATGTTTTTAATCAAAGTAGCTTTCACGGTGTTGCTAACCTGAATAGGAATAGTGGCTGAATGGCACATGTTTTTTACAAGGACAGGCAGCTTCATTCGTACCTTTTAGATTCCATTGTAGGTCGACTATGAGTTAACCTTTTGAGGGGTTAATTTGTCTCCGTCATTAGAACTTGAGTAAACAGAAGAATCAATCGGCCGTGGCCACACATTATTTTCCCGTTTACAATTTTTAAGCCATTGATCGTTTCTCATATGGAAACAGGCGGCACTTGGAATATTCCGCCTAGTAGTCGTCTACAGGTGTACAAGCAGTTACTGTTTGATAACCTTTAGAAGGAATAGTGGCCGAATACCGTCTATTTGCCAAAAAACAGGCGGTTTGATTCGCACCATTTAGGTTCCATTCCAAGGTTGCCAGTGACTATGAGTTAACCCTTTGGATTAATCAATCTCTGTCACTTTTGTTTGAGTGAGTAGAGAAAATAGGCGGCTTTGGCCGCATGGTGTCTCTTTATTCGCCAAGTTTTGCTTAGCTATTTACTTAAATTATGCCGACTGTATTGTCCCAAGCAATAACAGGCGGTTTATGACTTAGATTTTATTGTCTATTGTGTGTTTGTAGTATAGCGGTACGTTTATCTTTTACTCAGGGCAAACGATTGCGAGGTTGTCTTGGAGACACTCGGTAGGGCCGTTTGTTTTAGGTTTATAGAGAAATGTGCCACCGAAATGGGAAATGCTCTCTACGGCGAATTCACCCGGATGGATGTCGCCAGACGCCTGCTCTTTTTTGGGACAGATGTATTAGTTTAATTTTATTAGGGTCATCCGGCCATGGGCCTTAGGTTGATCATCCGGCCCGTGACTTCAATAAGTTCAGAGAACAGTTTGATTAAGTCTAGACTTAATCATGTTTACTCATGCGAGTTGGCAATTAAAAGAAATAAGGCCGACTGTGTACAGGCGGCTTGCCCCATTGAGGATACTTGCAAAAAACTAAAAAATCGATTGCAAATTTAATTGATATGCTTACAAATAATTTACAAATATCAGAAGTAGTAGTTTTTCAAGTTGTCTACGTTCCAAGTTCTGGCTAGCTGCCTGCTGTCTGGTGTTTCCAGGCGGTAGGTGCCCCTCTAACTTCTTCATAGATTTGGTAGGGGCCATCATAGTTAGGATTCAGCTTTCCCTATTCGTTGGCCATACCGACTGCTTCCATTTATCGTAACACAAGGTCCCCTACTTTTAGGGGCCGCTTGTGCACTCTTTTATCGTAAGCTCTCATCATTCTTAGACGGTAGATCTCATGGAGCAAGGCTACATTGCCCCTGCATTTTGGAAGCGAATCCAATGCTAAACGCATCGCTTCCCAGTTGGCCTCTTTGTCATAAAGCATGACTCGAAGAGTCGGCTCATAGTGCTCAATAGGCAGAACAGCCTCTGCCCCATAAACCATGAGAAATGGAGTTTCACCAGTCGCCCCTTTTTCAGTCGTCTGGATGGCCCACAGAACATGCGGTAGCTTGTCAGCCTATAGGCCGCTAGCTTTTTCAATTTTCTTCTTGATGCCATCAGAGATTAACTTGTTGAAGGCTTCAACCTGGTCGTTTGCTTGGGGGCGGCCGACTGATGCAAAACAACGAGAGATTCCTTGATCCCCCAACCCGTTGTTGAGAGCAGGCGTCTTGAGAGCAGGTGTCTCAAATTGAGGTCCATTGTCAAAAAACCATAGACATAGGTACCCCATACCGAGTGATGACATTTCTCCAAATGAAGAAGATGACATCTTTTGTTTTTATGCCTTTGACTGCCTTCGTTTCTAGCCACTTGGTGAAGTAGTCGACTGCTACCAAAATATATCTCCGTTCGCCTTTAGCAGGCGTATAGGGACCCAAAATGTCCATGCCCCATTTGGAGAATGGTACTGGGATATGGATAGCCGTCAGGTCAGTGGTTAGACGATGGATAAGCTTGTCAAACCTTTGACACTTGTCACATTTTTTAACCATCTCCATGGCGTCTGCTTCTAGGGTAGGCCAGAAGTACCTTGCAGCTTGGCTCTCCATGAAGCTCATCAAGGCATGGTCGGCTGTAAAGTCGACTAGACTGTCGATCTTTGGGAGACGATAGCTATCTTTTGGACATGCCTTGTTCAAGTCTGTGTAATCTACACACATGCGCCAGGTTCCATTCGGCTTCTTTACAAGGACAACATTGGCAACCTAATCAGGGAAGTAGCATTACCGAATGAACTTAGCATCTAACAATTTTTTCACCTCGGTGGCTACCGCCTGGCTTCTTTCTTCGCCATGGTTCCTTTTCTTTTGCCTTACTGGCTTCTTTTTTGGGATCCATAGCAAGCTTGTGGACGGCTAGGTCCGGGCTGATGCCTGGCATCTCGTCCACCTTAAAGGCAAAGATGTCTTTGAATTCTTTTAACAAGTGGTGCAAGTCTGCACCGAGTTCAGTAAAAGCAGTCGTCCCAACCTTAACAGTCTAGTCAGGACGAGAGTCATCTAGGGCGATGTCCATGTGCTCATCAGCTGGCTGGGGACGGAGTTCATCCGGCCTTTGACCGGTCAGTGATTGCTATTGTCCGTCTTTTTTCTTGGCCACCATTTGGTTGGCCTTTCTTCTATTGCCGGCTGCTGTTGCAGCAGGCGCAGCTTCCTTGACTTGGTCAAGGTCATTTGTTTCTCCACTAGGGCCGGCTGCAACCACAGTGGGCTTGACATCAGAGAGGTAACACTCCCTGGCCATCTTCTGGTCTCCCCTTAGGGAGCCGACTGTTCCATCATCCCTCTCGAACTTGAGAAGCATGAGAAACGGAATGATAACAGCCTTGGATTCATTCAGGGTGGGATGCCCAAAATTATATTGTAGGCCGTCAGTTCTTCGACAACTAAGAACCGGACCACCATGTGACGTCCCTCCCTTTTCTTGCCCAGACGAATAGGTAAGTCTATTCGACCTACCGGATGTACAACACCACCCCCTAATCCCACTAAGGGATGAGAGACCTGGTGCATACTCTCGGGCTTGTACCTGAGCTTGGTCAGGCATTTGTGACTGATGAGATCAGGCAAACTCCTAGTGTCAATGAGGATCCGGCCAACTCTTTAGTTGGCCACTTTGCATTCTATGACTACAGGATCATCATGCGGCCTCATGACCCTGTTCTTGTCTTCCTCAGTAATAGTGACTTCGGGAAAGGAATCCTTGGACGCCTGTCCCTCGTCAACTGAGTTAACATCGAGCCACCTAACGTAGTCTTTATTACCCCAGATGGTAGGGCCGCCTCCAGCGAAGCCGCCTGCTATTGTATAGATCGGAGTTTCATCAGTATCCGAACTATTAGCAGAGTGATACTTCTTTTTGGGCGGCTGTCCAGTGTTAGTTTGTAGGGTAACTTTGGACCTCATAACATAGGACTTGAGTACCCCTTTGTCGGCCAGGCAGTCCAACAGACGCTTGAGGCTATAACATTCATTGGTATCATGGCCAATATCCTCATGGTAGTGACAGTATTTGTTCTTGTTCCGATTTTTGGCGGAACCTTTCATAGGAGTCGGCTTCTCAATAGAGACCCGGTCCTTAATCTCCATGAGGATGGAGTGACAGTCTTTATTGAATTCGTACATTGGGGAGTACGTCTTTGCTTCTCTTTTTTTTTTCTAGGATGGCTGTTCAAAAGTTTCAGCCACCCAGACTTGTTTTCTTTTCTTTTCTTCTTTCTTAGCCGGTTGTGATGGCCGACTCTCTCTTTTGTCAGACCTACTTGAGTCCGACTGTTTACCGACATTGCAGAGTTCGGTCGCCTGTATATAGGCGCCCGCCTCCATCAACGCCTCTTGGAGGGTAGCCACCCTCTTTTTGACGAGGTCGAACTTGAAGGCCAACCCGTCCTTCAGACCTTTGAAAAAGTATGTGTAGGCTACCACATCAGACAGCCCTTGTATCTGAATTTTCATCAGATTAAAGCACCTGATATATAAGCGCAACCCCTCCTTCTCTCCCTGCTGTATGGCTTCCAAGTCAAGACTTGTCTTCTTTGCAGGGATATTCATTGAGAAGTTTTACGTGAACAAGTATGCAAGCGTTTTGAAGTTATTAATGCACATCATCCGAGCATCGGAATATGTTTTCTTGGAACCATCCGGTTGTACATGCCGGATGGCCTTTCTCTTCCCTGGCTCAGGGAACCGAAGTCTGGCCAATTTAATCAAGGACTTTTATCCCTCCCTTGGTTTAGGGTAAGGAGTCGCCTCTCGATCCTTGACCAACTTTTTTCTCCCAGAATGTGAGGGCTTTTTGGCCGACTGTTCCTTGGTAGGGACAACCGTCCGTCTATCAATAAGATCTTTAATCTCCCTTTGAAACTTGTCATGAGGCTCATGAGCTCATTTCTAGTGATTGGGGTGGATTCTTGGCCACCTGGAGCTGACCAGCCGGCTGGGCGACTGTTTCACTAGGCCCTGCCTGGTCGGTGTTCCGTTCCCTCCTTTCGGTGGGACAGATGCGCCGTGTTCTCAGGGACCCGTCAAGGGCCGAGTGGGTGGCGACTTCGTAGTCGTCATCTGTATCCTGGTCTGAGTAGACCTGCACGTCAGCCATAGGTCGTTTCTCATTTA